ACTAGTAAGCGCCGCGCGTAACGGAGATGTTAGGGGCTTGCCCACGTCGCACATTTACATTTAGCCCTAACTAATCCTCACAATTTGTAGAGTGACCACAGGCAGGAGTGACACACAGCAGATAAATAAGTAAACGCGACTCGAGACTCCGGTTTCTGTGTAAGTGTAAAGGGATTGGGGTTACATTACCAAGAAGATGAACCCGATCCCTGTGGCCACCAAGCTGGGTAATGACAATAGAGAGGCTGGCAAGTAATAGAAAATTGATGACACGGTGCAGAAAATAAGTTCAAGTTTTAAATTTTTTGTGTTGAGTAGAAAAGTTTGAACTCGCAATTTAAAAAAGAAACAGCTGAATTTATTAATGAAGAGAACTCGTAATGGAGAGAGAAAAAAGCACTCACCTTTGAGAGCGAGAACAAAAGCCTATATAAACTGTCTCAGCAAATGCTCTGCTTCTTTCTTTCAGATCCTCCTCGCAAGGCTTCCTCTAGATTAAGCAGCTACACATATCTTTTCCGTGATTTAACTTCTGACTCAAGCCAGTTTTTTTCACAGTTTTAGGGCGTGTGCCTGGGAGAGGAGGAATGTGGAAAGAGGCGCAGCTTGAGCAACGCAGCAATATTTTCTTAACAAAGATTTCCGTTGTTCCACAAAAGAGTCTAAAAAAGCGTTTTTGATTACAAAAAACTTGCGGCCTTTCTGCTTCTGTTTTATACTCACACCCGCATCTTTTCTATTTTTTTTAAATATATACATGTATTATATTATATTGTACTTTTTTTCTGGCACAACACAGTTTCTCTCAACAAGTAGGGACAAGAGCGCGCGCATGTTTTAAGCGTGTGTGTGTTCAAAGTCTTACGAACAGACAGATGCAGTCAAGCCACACCCTGAAAGTGGTTCAAAGAGTGGAAAGATGGAGTTATGTAGCAAAAAAGAAGAACCCCCCCCCCCCCCACACACACACACACACACACACATACAAAGTAACGAATGAAAGACTGGACAGCAGAGAACACAGAACTATCCTGTTACATTTTATTCAGATTTTTCCCTAAACACCACCTCTGTTGGCGTCCGGAGGGGAGATGATGATTTCCAGGAATTAGGAAGCCAGGAATGCGCACGCACACACACGCACACACACACACGGCTGTAACACACTACATTCCTATTCTGCAGTTTCATCATAGGACTGTGAGATCGGGCTTAAAGCATGTGTGTTTTCGCTGCGGGCTGGGATTTGTTCTAAAACTACCGAAACCGTGTAGTGTTATGTAAAAGTGAAGTGACTGAATCTACCTGAGAGCCTCTTGAAACATGGGAGGTGGAAATGAAACACAAAGTATTGACTAAAAAACACATAACTGTGAAACTGAAACGGGCTTTAGGGTATTTTTCATCTGGCTGAAATCCCGTTTTTTTTTAACTACATGGCACACAGGCGACACAGTAACACACAGAACTGCGAAAGAAAGAGTATCCGAGGACACTCTTATTGGCTAAACCTCCCATGCTTGCTCGCAAGTTGCCCAATCAGCTGCCAGAATTCCAAGAAGTTGAGCTCTCCATCATTGTTCTTGTCCAATGAGCTCATAAGTTGGTCAATGGCAGCAGGGTCATCAGCTTTCTGCAGGAAAACAGGAAATCACATGTATCCAATATTTAAAAAGAACCGTCTCAGTCCGTGGATAATGCAAAAAATTCGGTTAACACTGGTCATGTGTATGGAGCGAGAGATCAGAGGCAAGCAGAACACACTGGCATGCAAACGAGTTAAAAAAAAAATCATGCTTCATCAGCAGAAGTGGTTTGGCACAGAACTCTATTGACTCTGTCCCCATCTAGTGGTCATTGCGATTATTACAACTATTCAAACAAGAAACGTGGAATTTTCCACACTGTGGGTAAAGCAGACCTTTATTAGAACATGTAGAGCACAGACAAGACAGTCTCAACAACGCAATACTTTTTTTTGAGGGGGGGACATTTAGTGTGAAACATTAAATGGAGAGTAATATCCTGTCCCAATATGAGATGATGCAACTGCTCATTCATGGTCAAGATCACAGACAGGAGAGCTGTTAAATGACTCAAAACTGTTGATGAGAGCTCACATAGATGATGAGTAACGCTTAATAACATCAGCTTCCCCCTTATGATTAATTTCGTGAGAAACAAAACTCAGTTTGAGTAAATTGAGTCTCCCTGATTATACTTTAATAATGAAACTGCGGGTCTTCAAACTGATATCTAAGTATGGTACTTTGTGTTGCATCTGGTCTTTTTTTTCAGCGTAGTCAGCGTACAAGAAGTGCTAACAGTTAGTAGCCTGCAGCCTAAATCCGCATATAAACTGTCTGTAAGTACAGAACCAGTCAATGCAAAAAAGAAAACAGGCATCTATAGAAATAGAAAATGTAATAGATACTTAAGTAAAGCCACCAACCTGCTGTGACTATTAGATCAATGAATAAGAGGTACAAATGAAACTACTGTGCATTGGTTTTACCTTGAGGAAGTTAAGGAGCTCTGATGACACCAGTCTGTAAAACTCATCTCTGCTCAGCGTGTCAGAGGAACCATCCCTGCCAGCACAGGCCTTTAATGGTCGACTCTTTTAAAAGAATATACTGAAGTTCAACAGAATTCTAACATTGATTTGGAATAAAAGACAGTGGAAACTCACCAGCTGTGTGTGTGTACCGGTAGGTATTTGGTGAGTACAAACGTCTTTCTTCTCCTTTTGTACCCTGCTGTTGATGGATTAAGTAGATAAATCATTGGAATTGTTAAAAGTGTAAACCATATTTCCAAAGAAACCACAAATGTTTTTCCATGACACAGCTGTGTTTTCAGATGCACACACAGCTTGTAGCCAATCTTTGAAGAAGGATGGATTACTAGATGCATCATCTCATTCAGGAAAACCACCACAAGACTGAGAAGTGAAGTTAAGCGAGGTTAACATTAACATTCTGCACTGCCTGTGAACTATTTTTAATCATTTTTGCGGGTCATCCCAGTGCACAGACATTTTATTTCCTTTGCTTCTTGTGAGTATGAAAATGTGGGCAGAATGCTGTGGAGAGCAAAAAGTAGAGCATTACATCAGGTATATAATTATACTGTCTGTATATGGAAACTTTTGAATGAGGATGAGAATGAGGCACTTGGGTTTTACCTCATAAAATTTTTTTTTTAAACTCTAAAGCTCTGACAGGATGTGCACAATTGGCATATTAGGGAGGCAGTTAGCACTAACAAGCACATCGGCTTTATCATCCAAATATCCCCTCTTCTAGTTTTTGTTTCTCTGCTGTATGACGCACACACCCAGACACACACATCTTTATCCCCTTATACTTGAAAAAGCAGTATTTAGTTCTCCTCCTTCCATTCCCTTGGCTGTCATTGGGGAAGGAGAGTGTGGCAACTAACTCAAAATAAATGGCTTAGTGAGGGGGCTGGAAATTGCTTCCCTACACACAGTCTTATAAAAGCATCGGTGCTTACAGTGGGCCAATGCTTCTAGTTGTTTTAAGATTGATATCCTGGGACTGTAGCTGCAGGTGTATCTCTGTCTGAGGACATGTCTTAAAGTTCTCAATTGCTACTTAAGTCTACAACACCAGCATTTGGTCTTGAGGCAAACATCATAGGCCTAAAGGTTTCAAGCTAAATATAAACTTAAATTACTGCCTTGGGGTTGTAGGCCATTCCCAACCAATCAATTTAGGCCCACATGTGTCCACATTTATTATTAAATGAAGTGAATTCAGTAGGTTAGTGTCACCAGTTCAGTTTCTGACCAAATTTAAGTAAATACGTTCACAGCCTGTTATTTTGTAAAAGACTGTCCTGAAACATGTTCTCTAGAAAATTGACATGTAGTGGTGAAGCCGACCTTTGACCCTTAGGACATGAAATTTCACAGCTTAATTCATTTATGCAGTAGTTATGCAGTGGTTGGCCTCACAGTAAGAAGGTCCTGTGTTTAAATCCACAGCTATTTTGGGCCCCATGCTGAGCCTGCACAGATTCTCTCCAGGTCCTCTGACTTATTCCAAACCTAGACATGGGGTGAGGGTGCTCGTGGTGGTGCATTCCAGTGTGCTCCTAGTGCCAGTCCCAAGCCAGGATAAATTGGGAAGGGTTGTGTCAGGAAGGGCATTCTTTGCCAAATCAAATATCATCAAGAATGAGATTTCCATAGCAGATTGGGTGCAGCTCGGGCTACTAACGATCGCCTCTGGTGCTGTTGGCCAAGAGCATGCCACCGGAAACTATGCTACTGTTGGCTGAAGACAAAGGAAGAAATGAGTATATCAGACAAGGAGATGACTCAGCTGGATAAAGTTAAGAAAAATGGATGGATGGATGGATGGATGGATGTACACAATAGGAAGGGACAATAGATTAAAAAAAAAAATATCCTAATTTCTTCTCTATTTAAGATTAACTTAAAATAGCAGGTATAAAGGCTGCTATTTGCTGAAGCAAAGTTAATGAAACAGTTGATGTACAGACAGACTACATTAGGATAAATGTTCACTAAGAAACAACTTCTTGTTCTCAACCTTGTAGAATTGTCTGTATCAGTGTGGCACAGCAACAAAGGCACCCCGAGCTCAATGCATCTAATAAGATGAGTTTGGCAATGTGGTGTGGTTTAATGGCTTGAACAAAGAGGTGGAGCAGGCCGGCACACAGCTACTAATCACGATCCCTCCTTTATAGTCGGTGTGGGCCCAGAGGAGTGACGCACGAATGAAATGCACTGAAAAGGCAGTGGCGCTGCAGCTGGGGCAAAGTGTCGGAGCTGTTTGAGTCTGTAAATAGTGTAGAAAAAAAATACAGTGTGTGGCAAGAGCCCGTGGCTTATCTGTCATCACTATGGAGAACTTGTTACAGCGAGCATATACTTCAGGAAGTATTCTTTAAAGACTAAACAGGTGAGTTAAAGGAAGACAGAGTCAAGTATTATTCATCACAGAGAGGAATTACATTTATTATTTTTTAATGCCAAGAACATGGGAAAACACAACTGTAATGACATTTAAAGTTCTCTGTGCTACCACACGCTGTGTGGCAACCTTTGAAGAAAAAAAACAAAACAACCTCTATGGTGCTGAAGGCCTTTAAATCTGCTACATTTCACAAGTTTATCCACACGTAAAGAGATAAAGAAAGTATTTTTGAAAGCAAATGTCTTAAGTACCGTCACCAACCACAAACAAATGTTACAGTCATCACAAAGCAATAACTTAAGGACATCTGCACAAGCTCCACACCTGAACAGCAATAAACATGCTCAACATGTCAAAATCTCATGTGCCCATCAATTCTCTATATTTCACCTATAAAATAAGTTAATTAGACATTTGTAGATTTAAGCAAGTTCCTAAACACAAGCATAATGTATGTACAAACACAAGTGTCATGACTACAGACCCTCGCTCAAGTCGTTCAGCAGTCCATGCTTAATTAACAAAATCAGCCATGATCAGCTAATAAGCAGATTTTAAAAGTGCACAGTGCCGCTTGCAGAAAATAGTGAAAGTGTGGTGTTTGAATAAGACTGTGCAGCATCTTTTAGAAATCTTATTGAGAGCAACAGTGTAAGAGAATTGTGAATAGCAATGACTTTCACACTAATGGACATTCACAGTAGCTGCAGGTGGTCGGTCCCAAATAAACAGCTGTAAGTAAATGTTCATACATTTAGTGGGACTGTTTTAGGCTAGCAATATTTGTCTGTCACCATCTAAGATGTATGATGCAGATTCTTAAAATATCAGACTCAGCACTTCACACACACACACACGATGTACGTTCAAGCCCTTCCTATGTAACAGTGCATTAAGTGTTTGCATGAGCACTCAAAAAACAAACAAAACAAAAAAACCCCACAAGTGGACAGCAGATGGAGGTAAAACACAAAAGGTCGTCCTGCAAAAAGCATGACAGGTTGATAAATGTATACTTTAAGCCTTTGTGGTCCAATAAGAAATGTTCCCTTTGAGTAAACCCTCGCTCGCTCTGACTCCTTTTAGCCACTTTTGACAGATCCATCAATTCTATCATTTCATCAGCCATGTCCTTGTCCGCTCTCCTTTCTCCAGTCCCCTTTGATTCTCTCCTCTTTCTCTCCAGCTCCTCGCAATGAAAACTTTCTCATGACTTCTCTCTCAAACTCCTCCATTTCATCCTCTATGGCGCTATCATGTTCCCCATCCTCGTCCTCTTCCACCATGTCTTCTAAAATATCGCTCAAATCTTCAACAAAATCTTGAAAGCTCATCTGATCATGAAGAAAAACGCCATCCTTAAAAAACTGCGTGGCCAGCTTTTTGAGCTCCTCTCTTTTGGAATCATCGACACCTGCCTGCTCTGCCTTAGCTAGATAGGTTTGGAGGATGGCCTCAAACTCGGGTAAGTGGACAGGGAGCAGCCGCTCAGCCTTTGCACAGGACTCCAATGAGTCGCACTCCTGTGAAGGTTTAGGACTGTGCTGGAGATGCTCTCTCTGCTGGACCCAGTACTCAGGCTGCCCCATGGAGGGTTTGCGGTGTGTATGAGGCTGCTTTTGGTCTCCGTACTGATGTTCTTCCTTTTTGCCATGATTATTTTTAACCTTGTATACATCTTTGCTTTTCTGGAATTGCGATTTGTCTTTTTTCCAGTCTTCATTATGCTTCTTCTCCTTCCTCCCGTCTCTCTCTTTCGATTGCTCCCGTTTCGACTGTTCCCACTTCTTGTCCTTGCTCTTCCATTCCTTATCGTGTTTCCCATTTTGACTCTTCCGCTCATGTTCATTCCATCGCTTCCTGTCATCTTCCCTCGATCCGTCTTTGCCATGATTTTTACTGCCTTCCCACCGTTTCCTTTCATCCTTTTCTTTCCCTACTTTACCCTGAAGTTTGTCATTTTTATCATTCCTCTCAGTGCCTCTTCTCCACTCTCTCTCTCCTTTCTCCTTCCACTCTTTATCTTCCCACTGCACTTTGCCACTTTCTTTGAAGCCATCTTTCAGCTTCTTCCATTCCTTTTGTTCTTTCTGTCTCCCCCCACGATCCTTTCCTTCCTTCCAGTGCTTGTTCTCCTCCTTACCTCCCAATTGTTTTCCCTCATTCACTTTTTCATGCTTTGGTCTTTTCCTATCGACATCTTCATTCCATTCTTTTTTCTCCCTCTTTTCTGTCCGCTCTCTTTTTCCTTCCCCATCTTTCCATGGCTTTCCTTCATCACCTCTGCTAGTCTTCTCTTTCTTCCAGTCTTTCTCCTTCCACTGTTTTTCCCCTTCACTATGCCTCTTCTGTCTACCTTCCTTATCATTCTCCCCGTCAAACATTCCTTGCTCATGTTTTTCCTTCTTCCATTCTTTTTTACTGCCATCTTTACGGCCCTTTTTCTCTCCTTCCATCCCTACAGATTTTTTTCTCTCTTTTCCCTCTTTCTGCTCGCCCAAGTCATAACGATCTCTCTTCACATCTTTCTTTTTCTGCTTTGGGTCATCCCGTGGATGCTTTGTCTGTCTCCCTGTGGATCCAGCCGTTTCCTGCTTGCTGTCCTCTGGCTGACCAGGTGGGGGCAATGTAGCGAGCTTCATGGAGGCTTGAGTTGTCTGACTGCCTGCTGGAGCAACCACAAAAAGTCAAAGTTAGAAAAAGAAAAAAAAAAGATACAAGTGTGCATTGCGTTTCAAAAACAGAGAAGAAAGCAAATCACTAAATGACTAATCTACTCCCAAGCTTTCTTATAACTCTCATCCTTCTATATCTCCTACTCTCCTCCACATCCCCTCCCTTCTTCCTCCCTTGCTCCCTTTGTACCTGAGGAGACTTTTAATTCTGTCACAGTGGATCTCAGAGTTTCTAGTTCTTTCTGTAGGGCCGAGAATGACTCCAGCTCTTTCTTCATCCTCTCATTCTCTTTCTGAAGGACAGGAAGAGAAGCCATCTCTGTCTTCAACCTACTGTTTTCCTTCTCCACCGCCTCCCACCTCAGCCGCTCCTTTGCTCCCTCTGCTGCATGTCCCTGGGCTACTTTTAGCTCCTCGTTCTGTGTCTGTTTAAAGAAGAACAGAAAAAGAGGGTCCTGTGAGAATACCACACACTCACTGACACCTTTATCCACAGACGCACATTTGTATAAATACATGTGTATTACTGTACACATGCAGAGGAGACGAGGTGAGAGACAGAATGGAGTCACACCTGAAGTTGGGCTTGGAGCACAGAAATCTGCTCATTCCCTTTGGCTAGCTTGTTTAAAAGCTCTGAATTGTCAGCATCTAGTGGGGACTGAGGAGCCTCTGGGTTAAGCCACTCCTGTCAACAAACAGAATTACACAGTCTTCTCAAAATAACTATTGCCAGGTGGAGGAGTGGAGAAGAAAAAGAGGTGTTAATGGAACGGGAAAGAACAAGAACAAGTCACTGTACAGTAAAATTAAATTTTTATTTTATTTTTTTTAAATTGCCACTCATTATACAGTAAATAAAGGTTAGACTAGAAGAAACAGACAGAGTAGACATTACACTGACCCGTTTTCCTGGTAGCTCTGTATCTTTCAGATCCCTTGTACTATAGTCGCTCTCTGCAACGCAAATATTAGTTTCAATGCGAGTAATAAATTAAAAATAGCATGCAAAAAACAAACAAACTATGTGCAATTACCCAGAAACAACATGCTTAAGGTTTCTGACAGTAAAATGAAATTTAGCTGAGCAGAAAAGCAGCATTCATAATACACTTCATTACAAATGCATTTGTAAATGCAATAGAAAAAAAAAAAAAAGAAAAAGTATGGATTCCTTGGTGAAGTCCTCATGAATCCTGTTTTCACCTTTACCTCATTCTCACGCCTTTGCTTTTCAAACTGTACGTCAAAATCAGGTGACAAACTGAGCTTACAGGCTTCTAAAGCTAATATTTACCAACTGTCGTTCATGGTCCCTTCAAAACAACAAGGTTGCCTTTTGACAACACCTACACCAAGTATCAGAACAAAACCCCACATTTAACAGCATAAAGAACTTTGAAAGCTTTTTTTCTGCAAAGTATTACATGCAAAGGCTTTTTCCTGCATGCATCCTCACACATGCAAACATGCTGTGGCCAATAAAGACTTAATTAAATCAGTGACCCACACATACACACAGAAAGAACCTACCCTCATCCAGATCCATGAAGATACCTGCATGTATAATACACCTCAGTCTCGGAGCATCCTTCATCTAATCCAGTGTTAGTTACTTTCTATTCTTTTAAGCTTTTACCTTTAAAATATAATTTTAAAACAGGCAAAGAGCTTCCCAAAAAAAATCTAATTAGAAAGAAAGAAACGTTAACCTTCGTAACATGCCTACCTGAGAAAAAAATGGTGCCAAGGCCTAACAGAATGAGAGCACCTAGGATGCACTTGTTCACAGAAAACCCGCTGTCGTCTTCTCGCTGGGGGAGCTGAAATTCGTCCACTTCCTCTTCCTCTTCTCTCCTCCCAATCTGCTCCAGAGATGCTAAAAGGGACCTTCTCTTCCTCACCTCTGACTCTCCCTCCTCACCAGCCTTCTCGGTTCTCTCCTGACTCACTTCTGAATCTGCATGGGGGTCTGGAGGGGTGAAAGAAAACAGTATTAAGGTGTAGTTCTAACAATAATTAAGTTACAGGAACACCTCAAATATAAACTGAAAACACCACAACAATATGCAATCAGAAATTTCAACCCCCAGCAGCGTAATTATTTTAAGCACAAAGTTACAGTACAGATATTTCTTGCTTTTATATAGCTGATATAAGATAGCACTCCAGCTAAGCAGGGTATGCTGGTTAATTTGCTCCACTTTCTTATATTTAGTCTGGCTTTGAAAGAAAAGAGCAATGATATAACTGGCTCTGTAAAGACATCACTAATGCTGAACTTTACTTTTTAAACACAAATTGTAAGAAAGAAAAAAAAGAAGTGCAGAACAGAGTAAAAGAAGACCAATCATTTGATGGTGCAGCAGTAAAAAGTGACACAAACCAAAACCACTACACTGCAAAATATTTTAAGTGGTTCCTGTCCCTCTGAAGCCAATTTACTTCTGCAGGGTGTCATGTAACTAAAGGTTTCTGTCACATCATGCTCCCCTCCACACACAGCCTCTCCAGACAACCTCCTGGCCCAGATACTGAAAAAGTCCATAACCAGGTGTTCCAGCAAATACACTTCAAACACAAATAGAACATGTGGCTTAGTCTCCAATAGCAGAAGAGAAAGGCTGCATGCCATGTATACAGTGACATACACATAATAAAGTTTTTCTAATATTAAAGTAATAATGACCCGACTTTCGCCCTGTTCATACCTGTTTCTTTTCCCAAGTCAGTTGTCTTTAGATACGCATCTGACTCCTCCCCTTCTTGTTTTAGCTCCTCCCCATTTCGCAGATGCTGCGTTCCTTCCACCTGCACACACTCTGCACCTCCAAGTGTCTCTGTGCTCAACGGTAAGAGTGGGGGCTCATCAGGGGAAGGAGCTACATGAGTGTAGGAGTCAGAGTATGAATCGGGGTCAGAGCTGCTCTGCGCCGGGCCCTCATGTAGGCCTCCTGCCTGGCTGACTTCATCACTGCCATGGTTCAAGTTGCTGGAGACTTCCAAAGAGGAAGGAATGGGGTTATCCGTGACAGAAGTGGGCACAGAGGTGGGCTGATCTGCACTCAAGCCTCCACTTAGCTCTGCTGTTTTTTCTTTTGGTACCTGGATATAAGAATAAGGTCATTATAAAAAAAGTTTTTGCACTTCTTATAGTTTGGCACTTTTGGTTAAAAGCCAAGCAATACAAGTTTGGTCTTAAAGGTTTAAATGTTATTTAAACAGAAATATTGTTGTGTTATCTTTAGCATGAAGAACGTCGTCTCTAAGCTACAGCTGAAATGAGTCACTTTCCAAATCTGAGGAACAAATGAGAAGGATAACGCTGCTACTTGGAAAAAAAAAAGGCAAATTCTGTCCAATTAGAATCAACCAGTCTCACTACACTATAAATAAGTTTAGTATTTATTCTTTGAGCATTCAAAAATAAGCAATCATTCAAGCCCTGGGATTATTAGAAAATTAAAACGTGGGAGAGGAGAATGCTTTCTTTGGCCAATCAAGGCTACACATTCAGCAAAGCCGCGTGACAAATGGTACTGTTACAGAACAGAACATTGCATGTATTGCTGCCTTACTAGGTAGTTCTCCACAGGGAGCCCTTCTGCAGACTTTGCACCATTTGCAGGCTGGTTGTTGTCCCCAGAACCTGGATCAAACACAGACACAGGAGGGGAGCCATTTAGGCCAGCAGTTCAACATTTTTCAATCCTGACTCTTTGAAGTGGAGCAATTCCTACTCGTGACACCAACACCTGCCCCCAGTATGCACAGGCAGGGTGAAAAGCAGTGGTGATGAGGTGTATTTTTTTCTACTTTACCAGTTGTTTTCTTTGATTACAGTCGTTTCTGATTGCTTAGGTAATAACTTTGCAATAATAGCTGGAAGGCTCAAAGCTCTAATGCACTAACTGCAGAATATTACATCAAGCCAGTAAAACTATTTTTGAGACACTCTTGTAAAAATTGAATTTATACATTAAACCCAAACCATCATTTAAAGAACCTGATGTAGTGAAACACACACTTTATGTTTTCTGTGTGCAAGGCAGAGCAGCTCGCATTAATCAACTGACATGTGTGTGTAAATACCCATGTTTGCATGTATGCATCTTTGGAACCTTACTTACCTTTATTTCTGCACACAATCAACAGAAATAAAGGTTTAAAAAAAAAAAAAAGTATAATTTTGCATTTTAAATATGCAAACACTCCTCAAAAGACATTAGCGGTAGAACAAAACATTTCCAAGGAAAAATACAAGAAAGCCAGCCAAATGTCATTCTCTTTGTCAATCCAGACTCACAACTTTATCCACATCTCATGGAAAGCATCAAATGAGTGCAAAGCAATCACTTTACAAACTGCCTGTAAAGCAGAGAAAGCACATTCAGTTTGCCAAACTTGGTAAATGCACTTGCTACAAAAGTTAGTATTTTCAGGTATACTCCGATCCTAATGTGGATATGCGATTGAGAAAATGAATGGATGTGAAGGCACCTGGTGCAGTTGTATGGCTTTCTCCATGGTACTCCGTCCCCATTATCACAGGCTTCAGGGTTTCAGCAGCAGTTTCCTAAGAAAGACAAACACCCAGTCAGAGAACAATCCAATGCTGTGCAAAATATTAAGCCACCCATCAGGGTGCAGTCATTTACTGCAATGTACAAACACACATTATATAAAACCAAAAGCAGTCTTCTTGAAGGACATTCAAAGCTCTTCTTTGGGTGTTGGCTGCCTTTTGTTTTGTTCTCTGTCCACATGATACCACGCTGCTTTAAAAATGTTGAAGTCTGGACTCTGTGGAGGCCAATTCATAGCTGAGTGTTCCACTGTTTTTCTATGCAAATATGCCTTTACTGCACCATCAGTGTGTTTGGGATTACTGCTGTGTTGATGAGACCCATAAAATTTTACATTTGGATTTATCACTCCATAAGACTTGCTGCCATAAGTTTCAGCCCAGTTCTTGTGTAATCCAGCATATCTCGACCTTTTCTCTGCGTTTCCATCTCTTAAGAATGGCCTCTTGACAGCTACCCTTTCACTGAGGCCATTTCTGATGAGGCTTCAGTGATCAAGTGAAGAAAGAGATGCTCTCATGTCCTGTGTCAGGATACACTGCACACCATGTCAAGATCTGCCAAATTTTTCCCCTAATAGCTCTCTGGAAATCATGTTGTTGATGCAATAATGATTACGTGTTAAGTGGCTTAACAAATAAACAAAAAAAGAAAATCATTAAATTACAAAAACTGGACTGAAAATGAGTGAAAAAGCAGCCAGCGTCTGAAAGAGCTTCAGAAAGCTTGAAAATCAAAGAAACCTCACAGGTGTTTCATTTTCAACACCAATTTTGATATATAGCGAATTAAAAATCTAATATTACAATGTATTTTTTTCTTTCAGACTTATGAAGCATAACTAAATTTCCCACAACATGTGTTATTTGTAGTTATGGACGAGTCCTTACTGAGAAAATATGGCAACATAACCCACAACTTTTAAAGATAAAACAAGATTCTTTCTTCTATCTATCTCTCTCTCTCTCTCTCTCTCGTTACTGGAATAATAACAATAATGAGTGACTGAGCATCACCCTCTTTAACAGGCTCACAAATGAGAAGATCTTATAATAGTTTGCCTTCCTGAATACTAGTCAAATCAGAAAGATCAAGACAGACTTAGTACAGAAACCAAACTTCATATTTAGGTAACCAAAAGAAAATAAACTGAGACCAGTAATTTTGTTTTTTTTAATAAAGCATTTTGCTTAAAGCCTGTGTATTCCAATGCTCTATACAGAGCGATGATACCTCAGGAGTTAGGATGGTCCAGCTGTTATTAGCACTCCCAGTGCCAGACATGGCCCCCAAGAGACTTTGCGTGTCTCTCCTGCAACAAAGAACAACATAGAGAACAATGTGAAGAGTGTATACGTACACCCTGAATCAAAGCCATGCATATTTTACAGTTTGACTTACAGAAGAGACAACTAACAATGTGCCACTAGCTTACAATTACAGTAACAACATGAGGACTGCAGCTTTAAGAAATTTACGCTCATTGTTTACCCGATTTGAATACAAGCCTCTACTACTCAGCCTCACCCATTTTGCCAATAAAGGTCTGACTGTAATGTGTTACTGAGGTCTTTGTGCGAGTGTGTGCATTTTGTATGTGAGCAGGAAGTCTAATTCCCTGGGAGCATTCAGTTCTTCATTAGTAGTTTGTGTGTGCTATGAGCCTTTTGGCCAGCCTGGCTTTTGACTAGCTGGGAAATGTTTTGGCAGAGACATGGGTAACTAAGCCCGGCACTACAATGGGCTGTCCATTTCAAAAGTACTGGTCTCTTAAACAGAGGTCTACAAATGAGCACATTTGTGGTGTACACTATATCTACCCACTGCTTTGGAATCACTTATTTTACAGTAAGATCATTCATCTTAGCTGCCACCACAGTAGTTGAGAAAATCATCTCCCATGTAACCACTTCAGTGTCACCCCCTTGTTAGGTGGAAGTGTCAGGTATTAGATTTTTATAAAGCTTTTCCTTTCAAATTACACAAGGTAGCATAACAGCGAGACATATTTATATGCATCCAGTCTAGTTTTGTATGAATGCTGAAAGAACGAGGCACTTAAGTTAATACCACACTGTCTGGGTAATGACACACTTCACTCCCCAAATTCAATTCTCTCCCAGCTCTGCTATTTAGGTCTCCTAATCGAGTGCCTCCCAAGAGAAGCCTACTGAATCTAGCCTGGGGCCCAAGGAGCATTGTGGAGGATATAGTGGAATGGTTTAAATAGATGCCAGCTAAATATAGCTACCATGAGATTGACTAGAGACAGACAGAGGGAGCATGCAGGAGATGGCCATGGGGAATAAAATAGAGGCAGAAATGTATTCTAAGGACAGTTTTAAAAAGGATTATTTTACATGCAACACAAGGGAGGGAGAAAAAAAAATAACATCCTGTTCTGATCTTATTCACTGATCGGTACGAATAGCATTTAATTTAAGCTCTAGCTGTAGGAGTCGGTGCAAGATCATACTTTCACAGTGCATGCGTCTAATCTCAGTTTATCTCTTCAGACATTAATCTGCATGTGTGTGTTATCTTCCAGAGACTAGACTGTTAATCTTTTTTCTTTTTCTTTTTTGCAGCGTCTTTGCCTCTGCATGGAAAAATTACCAAAAAAGGTCAAGAGATAAACTACAAGACTTTCCATGAGGACAGCCAACGCTGGGCTGCGAGCTAAAGCCAGCTCCACACAGCATCACCGCTAAAAGCAGACCGCTCTTATCACTATGCAAAAAGGGTCGGGGTTAGTTGGAAGAAGTTCATAACCTGCGACAGGAAATGTCACACGGCCTTAAAGAAGACAACAACATCTGGTTAAACTCAGGAATATCACTTCTCACATGAGGTGAGGGCCGCTGTTAGTAGGCTACTAAAGGCTTCACAAGCCGAAAGTTGTTGACATTAGTCCTTAAAAAACGTTTCCACTTCAACGACGTCTGCCGAGCAACCAGGAAAACGTGAACGTTTGCGACACAGAGGGAGAAGAAACGACACTAGAAAAGACGTCGTTATCTTGTAATACAACCAAAAATACAGGTGGGTCTTACCGTGGTCTGTCACTTTACTTTAGACTTCAGAGGACGCCACAGACGCAAGCTAGGACTTCTTTGATTCTTCCCATCAAACTTGACAACTTATAACGTGCCTCCAGAACTTACTGAGCCATGCTCTTCTCGCCCAATCACAAAACGCGTTTGCTCTAGTCCCGCCTCTCGCTCATCCAATAAGATATCGTTGTCGCTTCACTTCGGCTGGAAAGCTTCTAAGTTGATTGACATGTATATATGTATAAATATGTAAGTGATGGAGGCTGAATTAATGTAAAATTAATACTACAGGTTACTGCTACTGCTACCCTGACATTAGACAGGCTTGAGTTGATGGTTTCCATCATAAATAGAGCCTCCAGTTTAGCGATAATAATAATGCTCTTTTGCACATTCACTTAAGAAATACCAAGAGTCACATTAGATGCAAGCTAAAACGGTTTCATAGAAGCTATATTACTGACACTTAAGATCAAAGCATTTTTCTCCCTTTAAAGGTGTCTGTGCAGAATTACCTAATCATCAAATGACCAAAAGAAAAGAAGCAAAAATTCAGACATGTAGGTAATAATTTTTTCTGTTTATGAGTTCCTTTATTTATTGCCACACCACTTTGTGTTGTACAGTGAACATCAGGTGAGCCACAGTCCTGGGAATCTCAGATCATCAGGGTACAATTCAGAAAACTCTAACCCAGTCCGGATATAAAGTCTGTATCATCTTGAAACCTGCTGGCAAGCTTCCTCGAACCCCAAAAGACCTCCCTTCCTATAGAGACACCGAAAAACAAAAAGCAAAAAAATGTTAAAGGGTTGAGTGGTTTTATGATTTTGAAATTATTATTGATAGATTTATTAAACACTATAAATTAAAGCATGTAGTTTATACATAACAGTCATTCAAAACAAGTCATACCTGCCAAGGCTTTACCATATAACACTCCCATTTCTGATGAAATAAAAGCTGGTTGAAATTACAATACAGGACCCAGTGGAGAAACAAGGAAAAATCTGTGCTCTACCACTTGATGTACCCTTTTCTCTCAGTCTGTCAGTCCAGGATCTCTTTGATGCACCAGCAGCAGAGGAGGAAATAGAGGCATTCTTTAACCGACTGGATAAAACTGTAGGCAAAGTTTCCTCCCAGGAAGTTCTTGCCTCGTCCCAGGCCCATGGCCATGTCCCGCAGGTGCTGTCCCAGAGAGGCGGAAGGCATGGCCTGGGGAAGAGGACGCTGGGGGTGCATGGCTGTGCAGAGGGACCAGACAAATGCAACGAGGAGGGCAGTCGATGAGAAGAACTGGAAGATGAGCTGTGACAAATGGAGTCAGATGAGACCCATGCAACAGCTGAGCTCTGCTCCGTATTCCCGGCACTGTTCACTCCTCTACTTATAACCTCCTATACAAACTGCAAGCGCTCTCCACCCACATCTGGCATTTTCTGGACTGTCCTCTAGTTTCAAACGCCCGCTGACTGATTAAAGACCTTGTTTACCTTTGCTGTACTCAGTTCCCATGTGTCGTATGATGCCCCCCTGAATAAGCCCCTGCTGTTCCAGCCACAAACAAGAGAGTTCCAGTAGCTCCAACACATTCGCCACGACACCACACTCTTTGTTCGGGTCAGCGTACAACAAACGCTCATATTTTCTCGTAGTGTGTGCTTTGTTTCAGTCTCTGCTGAACTTTTTTGATGTACACAGAGGGAGGCACAGCAAAAGCCAAACTCACAAAGCCAGATAAGTGATATATGTATTTATATATGCAATCTATATTTTTCCAATACAAGTGTAAACAGACACATTTCCCTAAAAACAAAACAAGACAAAGAGTATTAAAACAGAAACATAAAGTAATAAAAATCATTATCTGTGCACACTATTTCAAAAGGAACCTTTGGCTTTTTAAAAACACAAACCAAAAAGTACAACAGCATCATCAACACTACCACCATCACCAACAATAAACAACTAATTTTCTGAAAGGATTTTCATGCAACAAAGGCTACTGTGATGCACAATAATAACACAGAACCAGTTCACTAACGATAAAGAGCATCAAGTGAGCCTGTTCCAGCCCACACACACATACAACAGGTACGCACAGTAATGGCAGAACTTCTCTGCCGTTTTCCTATTTCTGACCTGCATAAAGCTGAACATGCAGAATGACCCGGCGGTCACTCGGGTATGTGTGTGCATACATGTTCTACAACATGTTAGCCCACTTAAAAGTCTAATGACTAACAGATAGTTAAGGTTTAGGCTGAAAAAAAAAATCCCTTCTCAAATTTTTTAATTTTGGCTTCGGTCTCTTCGACGTGTTCAAATTCTACATGAGCGACCTCTGTGCTGTGGTTTCTGGCTCTGTGTTATTTATCAAAGAAGTCATTAAATATACAAAAATGGAAACAATAGTCCATCACTTAAGCTTATCAGTCAAAAATTTATGTTATTTACAGATGATCAGGAAAAACCCCCGATCCCATACCACCCCGACCCCCACTCCCCCCCCAGATGGTGACATCAAGTATCTGTGACTGTAAGCTGAACGCGAGAACGTGCATCAGAGGAGATTGCCATCACTAGATCTGTTTGCGTGTGTTTACCGGAGTGTCATTTTTGCAAAGTTGTTGATAAACTGAGACTTTTTTTGTAAGATTCTCCTGTAGCTGACTACATTTGAATTAAGTACATAAGGTGACTGCATTGGAGTGACATGACTGCATTGAAGAAACAAGGCACGATCAAAAAGGTGTGTATATATATATATATATATATATCTATATATAGATATATAGATATATAAACCAAAAACAACTACATCATGAAGGGAGGAGGAAAACAGTAAACAACAACGTGAACTTCTCCCTCCTGATCCTCGAAAGTCTGTGAACACAGCACGCCGAGGAGTAACCTTTGGCTGAACAGTTCATTGTTAGCAATATCCGTCTAACCTCGGAGCATAAAAGGTTTGGAAATCGTTCATTATTCTCTCAAACGATTCAATAAAACACAAACATCAAAATTACATAACCAATACATAACTTGCATTGTTTTTGCAGAAGGAAATTCATTGCTTAGACTGTTAAACACTTGTCAAAGGGGTCTCCCGCTAACTGCTCTTTTCAATTAGGATATTCTTTAAAAGATATAACACATAGATTGTCGATGCAAACGCATATTAAGGTGTTTAATGTAAACCAAATGCTCAATAATATCTCGTCTAAGCTTCTCCAAACTTACTGAATTTTGTGTTGTGGTTGATTTTGATGTATTTTTTAAAAATCTCCTTTATCTCCCCATGCACACAATCGTTCCTCTCCACTCTAAAACGGGCATGTTTCGAAATGCATTTCTTTCTACACACAGTTGCTCCGATGCCGCAAACGCACAAGATCGATAGGAGTTGTTAATATTCATGGCTTCCTTTTCTGCTTCCTTTTCAACCAAGTTCATGTTCTTTGGCATGACAGGTGGTGCTGACTCAGTTGTGTAAAAGGTGTGTACGCCTGCGTTTAGAAAGGGATTGGGAGGATACAGCTGATTTGATCCTTGCGTACTCAGGGTGTCCTTTGATTGATGAGTGCCAAGATAATAAACAGAAACACAGAAAAAAAAAAAAAAGGAATATACAGTATATGAAGATCATTGGCATAGCAGTCCTAGATTTGCATACAGGCTTTCCTCCAGGGGTTTAAAAGTCCTTAAAAGAGGAGAAGTTGGGGTTGGGGGTGGCCCTCTGATGAGATCGGAACCAAACTCGTATACCTGTACACATATTCTCCAGCCGAATTATTTTATACCAAGGATTGCTGTGAGAGTTTGTGTTTGAGGCTAGTTCAGTCTCGGAAACAAAGAACTCTTGCCATCCAGTTTGTGTTTTATCTAAAATGCTCCAGCAACAGTCTGAGGAGGATTTTTTTCCCTCCTTTCAGAAAGAATAAAGAAAGCACATGCTTAGAAGTACTGAAGATCTCCCTCCATGTCCCTTAATGTTCCTTTCCACACTCTTCAGTTCTGCCATTTCAGTACATGATTCCATGTAGTATTACGTTTCCACTTTTTTTTTTCATAATTACAGATAAAGATTTTTTTTTCTTAAAAAACAAAAAGAAAAAAAGATTGCATTTGTTTTCTGCCCCATTCTGTAATTTGCAAAGGGCTCCTTCCTGGTTCACAGTAGGCTGAGAAATTGCAGCAGTGCTTCTCCGCTTTGGAGGAATGCGCCTGATAGTCGGTGATGTCAGCGAAGGAACCGTAGATCACAGTTTGGACAGGAAATATAGCAACAGCAGCAAGTGAGTGATTTTGCAGAGAAACTGGTGATACTTTTTCTATTTTTATTTTGGCTTTCTTTGCAATGTGTGTGCATATGTATCGTTGTGTGTTAGGTGTAGTGTTTCTGTGTGCATTAAAGGAAATGAGCGTGTGTGTGTGTGTGTGTGGTCGTGTATGTTGTGCAGAACTGATATAATAGTAGGAGTGTATGTTTTTGGTGGTGTATTTCATTGGTGTGGGTAAGGTCAGGCCCTGCGCTCTACTGGCTGTTGCAGACACACTTCACTCCCAGCTGACACAATGGGAAGTCTGTTGTCCATGTGGTAACTGATCAGGTGGCTGACACTCGAAAACCGGTGGTCTTTTGTACGGACCTAAAAAAAGAAAAGGGGAATAAATTAGAGTAAGCTTCAACACCAATATAACCCTCCACTCTGAAATCTCTGTTATGAATTTGATCGTTTCGTGACATACCACTCCTTCTGGGTCAACGAGCAGCAGGTGTTTGGGCTGACCACCCTGCTGTCCCGTGAGGACGTACTGCCCAGGTGTGGTTCCAGACTCCCGCACCAGGAAGTCTCCATCTCGGGTCAACAGTTTCTCTGCTTCCTTACGACTTAGGCTCCCGTGGAACCAGATTTCAGACTGTAACTGCTGCACCATAGAGGGCACTGCTGTCACTGAGTTTGGGCCTCCATGCCCAGAAACCCCCAGGGCATCATCCAGTGGCTCTTGAAAAATGAACACACAGAAATGTATTATTTTGTATTTCACTGTAGATAACATGTTATCCTGTAGGATCCCATAGCACTGTCTGCATTTCTGCACGACCGATAAATAGGGAAGTGAACCACATTGACTCTGACAGATGCTGCACACAGTTGTGGACTCTGCCGTGAAAAGCTTTATGTAGTCAATCAATAATCTTATACAAATTGCCCCTGTAATGGACAAAGACATTCTAATATCCTTATCTTCCTCTGAGGCTGACTTCTGTGGAGAGCTCCACTGCCAATTAGCATCAGTCATATGGAAATGTAAAATACAAACTGCTTTACTCATCTCACGAGCCCAATGATTAACCCTCTTTTCTTCTCACATGAAAGAAAAATAGCTGATTGCAATTGCCAGAAATTTTGGTCATCTTGATTACAACCCACACACATCACAAATTACCTTTCTTATTTAGTTTTCTCACAGGCTAATGATTTGCACTAGTGTTCAGGATTCAGTCCATTTGAACTTCACTTAGCAGATTTCCAGCAAAAACGCACAAAAAGACACTTACTCATGTCGAAAGCGTCTTTGTGAGCATTTCCGTTTGCTGCAGCTGGGAGGCGAGGTTTATCTACGTTGACGTACGAAGGGTCATCAAACATCTCCCGCCCACCTTCTTTGGCACCCACTAAGAAAAAACAAAATAAAAAAGGAAATAAGTAAAAGTTGCACAAACACAGGAAGAACTTTGCCACTTATTCTCACTTCCTTGCAATTCTAAGAATTTTATCAGGACTAAACAGGGCAAAAACGGAGAGAAAGTTTGACCAATTTCTCATGATTTAGCAACAAATAATATAAAGAAATATGTTAGTAACCAAAAAAGAAAAAAAAAGGACAGGAACGACAGATAAAGTCCAAAGAGATGCACACATGCAGGCAGCGACAGAGCTCACCTGGTAGGGGTGGCAGAGGCTGTTTATGAATGTCATTCTGACCCGGCTGTCCATAAGGCTGCAAACACAGAGGGGTACAAACAAATGCTGAATGCGTGCACCATGTGGGCATCCTCAAAAAAATGTTCTTTTCTGGCTAGTGAAATGATTACAATCTATTTATCTATCACTTAGGAATGACACAAGTAATTGATTAATTAATTAATTAATTAATTAAAAAAAAATTTGGGGGGGGGTATGCTTGTCTTCCTTCTTTCATGTTAATATGCACGGTTCTCACCAGCGTGGCACCAGGCCGGGTCCTCATGTCAATCACTCCAGCAGGGGGAGGCTGTTTTCCAGGGAAATTATTATAGTACGGGACATCAGGAGGCGGAGCAGCCTCATCTTCTTCTTCCTCCCATGCAGAGCCATCAAATGGAGCCATTCTGTCACAGAGAACAGATACAGAAACAAATTATACGAGACAATATGCAAATACAAGCTCTTGGTTTAGGTTTGTGCAAGCGACAGTTACCTGTCATGAGGTGTGACCAGTTTCGGAGGGTTTTTTAGATACTGTTTAAAACGCAGTTCGAAGGCCTGACCAATGGTGCTGATGACTTCCTGGGCTAAACCCTCCGAACACTCCAGGATATGACATGCTGCAATAAGGAGGCACAAAAAGCTGATAAGCGGGCTTCTTTTGAAGGAAGCATGTGCTCCAACATACAAATACGTTCAGATACAGGTAGAATACAAAAGCACGTATGCATGTACATTTTTATTATGCGCGATGATGTAGGACACATGTAGCAGCTCTAATACATTTTGCACACTCTAGTTTTAACTCAGGAAATTACATAAGCAATGGGATGGCTTCTTTTTTTTATAAGTACTGCATGTTAGAACCTTAATGTCAATAATCTAGCCCGAAGATTTTCACTTTCAGTATTAAACAGAGGAGTGTTTTTGCTTTTTCAGCTGAGAAATGAGCCATAAGTTAACTAATTTAGCTTGCAAACAAACTATGGGACTTCAAAAATAGACATTTGGTGGAAAATGTACTTCTGCCTTTTCTCTACACACTGGGTGTGTAATGTCTTAGCTCTAACGGGGTATTTGGCAAATTCAAAGGGGAATAAACAGCTAATAAAGCTATTTAAGTTTGATTTACTTATATTAAGATATATATATTTACTTATATCAGTTCATACATTAATGAAAATGTTTGGTTATATTTGCTGAAAGTAAAAAAAAAAAGAGGACTAGTTGCACAGTGCAATGAAAGCAACTACTCTAACTCATGTATTAAAGGATCATTTTATCTACACTGGCAGCTGCTACCTTGGTGAGGCTGTCATTTTGCCACTTACCTCTCTGGTTGACTGGATCTTTGGCCACATATGCTACGTACTCAGCTGTATCCTGAGGGAGACCGACAAGGAAGACAGTCAGAATGGGAAAAATCAATAGGAGGGAAAAGTGAAGGGCAGGTTTAGGACAGAAAAGCTAAGAAGAGAATAAGAAGAAAGAGGTAAAGCGAAGACTTTGGTGTTTAAGCCACAGCAGAAGTTAAAAACTTACAGAGCTTAAAGAAAAGAGAGAGAAGATACGAAGTAAAGAGATAATGTCTGGAAAGAGGGACTGCAGTCCAGGCAATCCAGTAAGGCTGCAATAAAATGAGTGGTATTCAGAGCAATAGACAATGACAGAAGGCAAGGAGGAAGAGCATGCTGGCCGAAGAAAGATGGAAAAAGGCGAGTGAGATTTCAGCTGAGAAACAGGGTTTGGCTGACTCACTGGGTCTCCTCCAGAGGCGAAAGAGATGGACTGCATGTGATGATTGGCGATTATCTGTGGAGAAAGAGAGAGAGAAAGAGAGAGGGAGAAAGAAGGAGAGGGAGAAGGAGAGCACGTGGGTGACATGAAGTATGTGGGAAGTGAAATGAAAGCATGTGGATGAAAAGACAAATGTGGAATCATTACTGAGAAAAGTGCTCTTTCCTCCATTGAGCGCTATCAATTGCAGCGGAGATAAAAACTAAGTAGGGACAATGGATGGAACACCTTTTTAACAGTCTGCAACAACCACCCATGTTAGATCAATAACAGCATCAACACTTGCTAATGCTTCAAGCACAGAGTGTGGTCTGTGAGTCCTTAATTGTGATTTGGTATATGTTCTGCATGACATGTTTCTTCGCGCTAATGCGAATGCACTACACAACTGTATACCATCTCCCCAAAGATAAACATCGTGCAGCAGCTATTAACTCATTAGAGGTCTAAGAGGAGGATCACATCCTGCCTTGTGGTAAAGCAGGAATCAAGACAATGGTTAAGAGGGATTTGTGCAGCATCCAGAGTAAATGAGGCAAACAATGAGAAGCAGTTCTAAATATATATCGGGGCATCTCCTGAATATTCCAGGAGGTCACGATACATAATACATATGGAAAAATACTGAGAATTTCTTTTAAAAAAATGATGTTTATATCACTGAGATTCAACCACCTTTAACATTTTAGTGAACTAAACATGTTTACACCATTAACAAGAAGCTGAAAGCAGTGGGAATGATTACAATGCAACTCTGAAGGCAAAGAATAAAAACATTTAGAATTTTTGAAATAAATCATCTGTAGATTGGTCTTCAAAAGTAAGAAAACATCACAAAATCCACACAAAAATCCCTCAAGCAAAGAGATCCCCAGGTTTACTCTGCTTCGGTAAACTCCACAGGCTAAGTGCACTCAGGGTACCTGAAAACATGCCCCATAGCTACAACAGAGAGCTCAGCCAATCAAGCGTATTTCTGACTCAAAAGCGAGATTACTGGCTTTCAAGGGCAGCTCAACGAAATGCCTGGGTAGAGTTTGAGAAAACAGCAGCTTGAGGTTAGAGCTTCGTTCTAACCTGTTTGCAGTCAGAGGCCAGCAGATTGAGGCTGCTGGTCGAGATGGTGAGGCTGATTGTCATGCCTGCAAACTGTAAATTACTCTTTCCCAGGATGGACGTTAGACAGCGAGAAGAAGGCTGCAAAAGGAGAGAGAGCAGTTTTAGTAATAATCAAATCAAGGTGCCCAAACCAAAAAGCAACAGGACGTTTTGTTTTTTAAAAAAATTCAACAAAGCATGATAGTCCACTGAGTGCTCCCTGCCTCAGCATGACTCTGTGGGCATATGTGTGGAAATGCCTGTGTGTGTGGGAGTGGGAGAACAGCTGCAATTGTGAAAGTGATCCTGTCTCCAAGGCCAACTGCGACCAATTGGGAATAGACAGGACAGTTCGCATACTGTAGCCTGGGCCAAGAGCATCACACAGACCATGCCAGCACTATTGTGCCAGCATTATTGCGCCAGCACGTTTATCCAAATCCTCCTACTGTTCTCATGGCTTTCATCCATATTTGTTCCAAAATGTTTAGAGTGTGCAGTGAGAAAAGCAGGAGCAACAGGACAGGAAGCACATGCTTGGCCACATTAACCTCAGTCCTGCCAAATCAGAGGCACTAGACTAGTTTGATCTATTCTAGTTTATATCCTATAACTGTATTTTGTCTGCTGTGCTATACTGTCAGACATTCCTTGGTCAAACCCTGCTACAGCAGCAGGCAGCTGAATATAGCCACCTGTTTTATAGACTGTTTGGGTGGATGTTTTTAGGTTTACAGGAATACTGTGCACAGACACTCGCAGTCTTTAAACAGCAGACTGGCGGCTGTGTCCGCTAATCTGTTGTGCTCCTTTGGCCTGACGCTGGCTCCACACAAGCTTCTACTCCACCTCTCCAGCCTCCCTTGTGACAACAGGGAGGGAAAAGAGAGATCAGAGAGTGACTGGTAATTACCTGTGAGTAGTCGGCTAACCACAGAAGTGTACAATCAGCCCAAATCAAGATTTGTGTGTGTATGTGTGTACTTGTAAAGCTATATTTGACGGAATCACTGACTTTTAGATCACTGGAGGAAAAGTGGGGACATTTCGGTTGGTCCTGATTTTTGTGTGTAGGTTAAGGTTATAATTAGGTTTAGATTAGGGATAGGCTCTTCTATGAAGATAAAGAGGCAAGGGAATGGATTAAGTCAGTGAATGTGCTCATAAAGATAGCCAAACAATAAATGTGCATGTGGTCCAGCTATACTCACGTTTTGGGGACCTAAATCAGTTAACAAAGACACATTATGGAAAAAAAGGAAGTGCCAAATGTGTAATGTTTATAGTTCAGGATCAATGTCATAACAAATAGGAAAAACTCCAGGTTATGAATGCAACTTAATGTAATGTCCTCTAAAATCATGTATACATGGCTCTTTGTGCATTTGTGTGTATACATGAGACTAAATAGCCCACTGACCAAAGGGTGGACAACGGAGCTAAATCTAGCTCTTATCCAGAAAACTCTTCATAACGCTGTCCACTTAAGTCTTATAAATAAATAATGCTCTGTATGGGTGTGTGCTCCTGTATGTAGCGCCTACCTTTCTCCTGCGGGCTCCTTTGGCACCGGGTACTGCCTCACACACCACAGAGATAGCTTCCCTGAAAAATGAAAAACATGCATGTTTGCAAATGGCATGTAATTGACCTAAACACCTTCCCAGATTCACATTTATGGATATTAAATGAGATCTGGCAGCGTGTGATAGAATTTATCGTCCCTGGCGACTGGGCTCGTCTTTGCCACGGAGACAAACATCATTGCGGAAACCAGATGGAAACCACCAGGATTCCAGAACATTCTAATTTGGGGGCTCTGAGAGCGGCAGGCGTGTACATGCAAACACACACGGGCAGATGTAGTCAGATGCTAAAACAGAAAGAAAACAAGCCCCGCAAGCAAAATGGAGCGGAAGCAGGACGGAAACCGAGCGAGCGGGCAAAGGAGTAAATGCGAGGTGAGTGATGTATGTGTGAGCCATAACATTTTTCAAAGTGTAACCACACTTTTAACATCTCGCCCCCTCAGAAACAAAGCAGAAATGAAACGAGTGAAAGGTCAAACCTGCAGCCGATGAGCTGTGTGTAATCTCACCTGGTGACCTGAGTTCTGGTGTTGAAGTCCAGCGCCCGCATTGATTGTAGCACCTCCACGCATCCCATGTACTGCCCAGGAAACAGGAAGGCAAAACATTAACATTAGACATGTCCTACATCCTGGTCCCATTGGACCAAGGGAACACAACAGAGGAAGAAAGCAACAGTATCCTTTCCTCATTACAGACTCAGTTTCTAAAAATGAAGGGTTTATATGTACACAAAAACAGCTTGGCAAGGGTGATGTGCAACTTTGCATTTAAGCTAGAGGCTACTGAGAATGTGCCACCCACTTACCCGTACACTGTAGGAAACACCAGTGGTGCTGACCACATTGTCTGAGTGCAGCCAGCCACGGGTGGGCTTGTTGACAAAGGAGCCATGGCGCGTCCACTCGTCTCCTCCCAGCTGCCCTCCTTCCACCCGTGCCCTCCTAGACACCCCTCCTAGCCGGTTCATGTCCTGCAGAGGAGGTCGGGGAGGGGGAGAAGGAGCAGTTAGAAGTGAAACAGGGTGATGAAGTGGTGGGGAGGAGCTAGAGTTGCTCCTGTCATCCCCAGAGGACTCAACAGGTGCCTGAGGTGCCTGAGCTCCCTGTGATTTGCTTGAGGCCTTGAGTCCTGGGAGAAGAGTAGCTGAGACACCCAGACGAAGAGAGCCCATTCTGGGAAAGAAGGAGCAGAAGGTGGTGGGGCTGTTCTCAGCTTGTTGGGGAGAGGAGGGGGGCAAAATGGGAGTGAGAGATGAGGAAGAGAGAGAGGAAGGTAAGCCAGGGGAGGGTGTGAGGGGGGTGACAGGACTGGAAGGAGGAAACGATGATGGATTGGAGTTTGTTTCGTCAGTTGAGCTCAGTGATTCACTCCGAAAATGGGTGTATTTTGTTTTCTCCATAATGAATTGAATCATAATGAATCTGCAGTGTCAGTTTTTATATCCGTGCAAGTCCACACAGGCTCTCGTGATTCAAAGTCTCTTTGTCTCAGTATTCAAAGTTTTTCTCTGAAAGGACAAACAGCCATCTGTCTGTCTTGCTCAGTGTAAGAGCTGCATCCATCTGTCTGGTTGTGTGTCCTCCACTTGTTTCCAGGCAGCCAAAACCCAACTGCTTTAAAAACGGCTTTATCCACAATGAAAGCAGTATGAGCAAAAGCACAGAGGAAACGTTGGGTGCCCCAGTTAATGGTAAAACACAGACAAAAAAAGCTTTTTAGTGCACCAGTGCAGCTCATGTTGTCATGAGTTCATTTTGAAATTTACTTGAGTGTTTTCTGAGTTCCCAGGAACTGATGAATAGCTTCTTAGCTGTCCACAGACTGTTGCTCTTGGTGTTTTGCCATGATGTAAAACAATATCTGTGACTATCTTGTCCCAACTTTATAGCCTCTGAGTGAGGCCCAGTAATTCAGCTGTCACCAGCACCATGAAGAATCAGCACAAGTGATTGTCTCTCTGAACACCCCCTCATGTGTATGTCTTACTGCTCTGGGGGGTGCGCATTTCTATGTGATGTGTCTACATGCGTGAGGCAGTATAAACCTTGCCGGCCTACAATGCTTCTTTGATTATCTGTGTATGTTCGTGTTGGCATGCGCTTGTGCGTGCACGTGTGAAGCAGCTCCCCTTGGCAGCTCTATCCTGCTTGACACGGGCCCATAAAAATCCTATTAGCAGCCAGAGAGGGGATTGCAAGGAGGGCCGTGCACGCTAACGCGGCAGCGACGCACACATTATACACAGCCTCAACTGGTCGATACGACAGCAAGCACCTGCAGAGCTCAATGAAGCCCAGAACTGCTAAAGAAGAGAGAGGAGGCTTACTGATGTATGGCTAGTCTCCAACTCTTGGTAGCAGCACACTTTCTTTAACGCCTACTTTTCACTCCCTCTCTCTCTTCCTCCAAATGCTTTCATGTCCTCTCTGAATGGCCCTCGCTCTCTCTCTCCCTGCTTCTTCTTCTTCTTCTCTTCTCTTCCAGATTACCTCTGGCGCAGGCGCCTTCCCTTTCTCTGAACTCTTTCCTCCCTTCTCTCTGTCTCCTCTCTTATCCTGGAAGTCTTCTCTCTTCCTCCACACTATGTACTCCGCCAGCCTCTGTCTCTCCAACGCCTCCGCCCTCTCCCGCGCCACCACTTCCTCTCTCCTCTTCCAGATGATCTCTCGCTCCCCCTCTCCCCCTCCCTCGTCTGCTCGCCCGTTCTCCAGGCTGTCCCGTTTAACAGTCCCTCAGTCTAAAAAAATTAATAAAAATAATATTGAGCCCTGTCTTTCTGCTTCCCTTAGCTTTAGGATTATAGATGGTTAAAGGCTAGGCATGGTAACCTTTGACACCAACAGAAACCCTAAAGACAAAAAGTGAAGTACTTAAGACTGCACTGGCAGAGTTGAATCTGTTCCTGACTGATGTTCCTGATATGGCTAAAACAAGTGAGCCTGTCTTGTTTCAAGTGTGTTCCCTAAAACTGGCCACATAGGGTGTTGATTTTTTTCTTCCTGGAGCACCATTAGATAGCGGTAGTTTGAGTCTGAGATGCTGCCTGTGTCTGGTACACTGACACACACTGCAGTAGCACGGTGGTGATGTAACACTGAAGAATGTAGGTCATTGGCTGATAACGACTACCGGTGGTCTTGTTGTGATGGTAATGAGACCTGATTGGTCAGGTTTGAACTCCCAACCCAGGGTTCCCTGAATGGTGCTGAGGCTCACCAGTGTTCAACATGTAGTCACTCGCCCAGCTGGAAATGCTCAATCAAAACTGCTGTTAGGCTGATTTCTCTATGCACGGCTGTTCTCACCCTGTAACTTTATTACGGCCTAGTTCAAATAGCAATCGCAGAACAGAGTTATTTACCTGAGAGAAAAATATTGACACTGTCACAGATGATATGAACGAGCCAAGAGTTATATTCCTTCCTTATCTAAGGCAGGGCTTATCAAGCAGCAAGTAAGCTCTCTCTACTGTACAGACACCATCTCACATCTCATAGTCTGCATAGTCCAATCTAGAAGGCAAACAACAGTCTGTTTACATTAACAGTCTCTCACAAACCGGAGCCCCACAATTAAAACAGTCTGCAACAGTTTGACCTCAGTAGGAGGCAAAGCTACACCTACAGTCCAGCAGTAAACTGGCTGGCTGACCTACAACTTAGTGCTGCTGAGGCACTAGTCATACTTACAATCTGTTGACCTTTGCTCGCTCAAAGGAGAAGGTTTACACCCACCTTTTCCACAACACATACAAAAGTCTGTAAAAGTGGCACCAGCGTTTCAGTAATGCCAAGCAAAAAAGGTTGATTATTTATTTCCTCCTCACACTAAGATTTCAGAACTTCATTCTGCCTGAAGGACAGCCCGCAAGCTTGTGGTGGGCGCTCAATGCATGGCAAAGGAACAGTCGCCTACACCAGTCTAGCACCACAGAGGGATTGTCTAGCAATTCTAGCTAGTCATCCATCTGGTCTTGGCCAGAAAGCACCATGGAGGATCCAGTCCTACTTATGAACTGCAAGACAGGCTGGGACGATCTCCAGAAAGCTGTAAAGCATCTAATAAAACCAGAACTTAGTCCGTAGAGATGAATAGCACTTAAAAAGGCAAACTATTCAACCTCAGTAGACTTGCTAACACTGGAGAGAAATTCAGGTGCTGTTAAAAAAAAAAGGGAGCTGCTGAAATGCTCTATGGGCAGAGTTAACCCTGGCTCTTCCCAGGGATGTTTTAGTGCACCGAACACAGTGTAGGTCAGGTGACTGCAGAGGAGATGACCCTCTACAGGAAGAGAAATCCTGAGTCACCTAGAGACAAACAGCAAAAGGAAAAGGCTGTGACAAACACAGCTAATGACTGGTGATTGGTGGCCTTGGGGCCACGCAGCTGTGATATGTACAAGTGAAATCAGTACTGTAATCTAATTCATCCAGTCATTTCTGATAAGAGCTCATCAGTTTGACTGATGGAAATGGTAGTTGTCATTAATAAATGTGAGATCGGGACAGGCTGGACGGAGATGAGTCGTACAAGGCGAACATGGAGAATTGGGAGGGGGAGACAGGTGACCTGAAACAACCCTGATTCCCGGAGCTTGCCGAGCTCCGCAAAGACAAGGACTGTCTAGTAGAGAAGAAGGGAAACAAAAACTCTAAAAACTGACACAAACAATGAACTAATCTTGTTTTATCAAGTAAATATATACAATTACCAAACGGCACAGCACCAGTTTAAAAAGATAGGACAAGGAAAACCAACTTTACATCTTGTTCTGTCTGCAGCTGCTGCCCGTTGCTATGGCAACAGACATTAAAAGAGATGCCTGCAGAGGATATATACTGAGAAGTCCTGACAACAGCAGAAATCTTCAGACAAAGAGATAACCGCTTTGTCAAATCACATTGCAAGCAATTAGTAGCTCCATCAAAGGCTCCACATTAGAGCTCTTTTTTTTCATCCAACAGGAGAAAAACTACAGACTCCTAGAAAGATCAATATGGTTCAGGAAATGATCAAAGTTTGGCCCGCATCCCGCCAGCCATAAAACCGAATCAATGTTGACATCCGATGTCGGTCGCTTGCACCGACTCCGACTAGGGCATGTAAAACTGACACTGTTTTCAAAGAATAATAATCTATTTTCTAATAACTGTATAAACAAGAATTTCACCAAGAATTAACATCAAAAAGACAACTCATGTTTAGAAAACTTGCATAAAAACAACCTGAATATTCTGTGCAGCAGCTAACAAAGATTAGAATGATTGTATAACATCCTGCAGAGTAGATCCTACGCTCATGAAGGATAGGAAAAGAAAATAGAAAATCACAAAGGGAGTCTGTATTTCCAAAAAAAGAAAAGAAAAAGTAATTAAACTGTTCTGTATAAAGTGAGTCTTATCGATTTCCCTAAGTGTTTTAATGAATGGCAAAAAAACAAAACAAAAAAACAAAACAAAAACCGAAGTAGTTCCTTTTTTGGTTTATAAAGCATGCAATTGATAATCCACGGTGATTCTCCTAAAGCTAGGTTCCGTATTCACATAAGAACCACATTAATGTTTAAACGGCCACAGCTTGTCCGATCATTCGTCCTCTCCTTCCTCTTCCTAGCTTTCCCTTCGTCCACTCCCCGAAAAACGTGCTTCTCCTCTGATCCGCTCTTCCGCTCGATTAATTCACAAAGTCACTGCCGGCAGCTCCTCTCCATCTATCCTCTCCTCCGTTTGGCTGCCTCCTCTTTTCGTCCCTCCTCTCACTCACTCTCTCTCTCACTCTTTCAGCAGATGGTGAAATGGCAGTGTTGCCAGGATGGATGATGGTAGTCCTTCATTGTGCTCCTCTTCTCCCCTCACGTCTGTCTCTCATCCCCACTTTCCTTCCACCTCTGTCTGTCTGTTAGAGGCACAAGCACACTGTCTGTCCTCCCCTCCTCCCTGTCTGGGTGGGTGATGCTGCCTCCCATTCTCAGTCTCTCTCTTTCATACACACACACACGACCGCGCCACAGCCTGTGCCCTCCCCACCTTCTTTTCTCCCATGCTACCTCCTTCCTGTTTCCTTCCCTTCCCCCCACCTCCTCTCTGCAGCCAGAGTCATTTAGCAGTATACATGTGTATGCACAGCAAGATGCTGCACTTCTACTCAGAAATGCACACACTCCAAGGAGAGATGGAGATGGGGATGGGGAAGGAGGAATGAAGGGAAGGGAAGAGAAGGGAAGGGATGGTGGATACATGTGTTTGTGTGTGCATGTGGAGGGTGGGCTGTTCATGTTGGGTATTCAACGCTCCTCCCTTATTCATGTTTGGTAACCTGAGAAACACAGTTAAAGAGTGAGGGGAAGAGAGTGAGAGAGAGAGAGGAAGGATGGATATAGATAGCCTCTGTGTGCTGTGACATGAGGTCACTCTATATAACCTTGATAAAAGTGGACAAAGTGAGGGGAAAAAGGAAAGCAGACTGCACTCGCATGATGATAAATATTTCCAATGTTACTACATGACTACAGCACTCTAGGGGAAAAGACTGGAAGACATAAAGCAGAAATCCCACAGATTGGTCTTGACATTTGAGCGCATCTGATGAGAAGGCAGTGTTGCGGAAAGTAGAGGAAACCACACATAGAGTGACACAGGAACCCGGCAGAGTGGATAGCAAAGTCCTCAAATGACACCCCAAAGAGTCCCCGCAGTACCAATTTTCACCACTACACCATCATCGTGAGCTCAAGCAGTGCACTCAAGGATGTGAAGGTTCATAATGAGACAACTGCAGACAGCTAGCATTCGTCATCATACGCAGTGATCTGATTGGTAGTGATGGGCATGATTGGCGAAGAAGACACCCTCCACCGCCCAGAACCAGCGAAACACACGATACACTGTGGCTTAGGGTTGACCTAATTGAACATTTTGTGCTCCCTTATTAGATTGAGTGAATTAACAGTTCAGGTGCCATCTTGAATTTACATTAAAAAGATAGCAACCACACTGAGCTAACAGCTTATTCAGTACACCCAACTAAAACTCATTGTACGATCTACTGTACAATATAAAGCACCTTGAGGCAACTGTTGTTGTGTTTTGGCGATAGATACATAAAATTGAATTGAATTGAAAACTACTGCAGTTCAGCCAGTTTCTTCTCCATGGAGCCGCAACCTCCAAAAATAACCAAACATATCCATCTGAAAATATAGATATGGGTTTTTTAGCTCATAAAGGTACGATTTCTCTCACAGCTTCCAACTGCATTTGTTTTATTTGGGTGCAACTAATAAACTGCAGAGGAAGTAAAGTTAACATCCCATTCAAACCACAATAAATTTACATGCACAGGGCTGTACAATTACTGAAGCACGATTTCAAAATGACTTTAGTTTCCAGTTCTTTCTTGCAGGTGAAAACTTGTGCAATATTAAAGATAGCAAATGAGGA